TATCAGTATCTTTCAGTGTAACAATTTATCAATTAAAATTCCGAGTGGGGGGGGGGGGGGGGGGGTGCCTAGCAAAAAAAAAGCATATCTGCGAAATATTTTTTTTTGCTATTATTTCGAAAGTATGCAGGTTTCCTCATGATGTTTACCTTCACCGTTCAGTACGTGATAATTCAGCACTTAAAATTTAATAAAAATAAAAATGATCACAAAGTTTATTATTATGACTAAATCACATATCCTATTTATTGTAACTTATTTTATTATTATAGTTCATGAATGGATATTGGCGTTTATGTAATTTGATAATATTAGGTATATTAGGTTTATTGTAGGACGCACCCGCGTCACGCGGCGCTCTAAATTTTAATATTAATGACGTCATAATTATTTTAAATTATATATAAACTGTATTAAAACACGGAGCAATGAACATATTTAATATTTAACCCAATTTCTCAACTACATTCAATGTGCAAGGTTCATTCCTACACAGAGAGTTTGTCATCTCTAGTTACTAGAAATTTTAAGTGCCACAACAAAAAAAGAATCAATAGGTGAAAAGCATTAGAGATAGGAATAAAATAGATATATCGGGTAAACAACACTATTTCTCATGGAAATTTAGTGCCTAATGTTGTTGATACAGAGTTTTTTATTAGATCCAACCTAAAAATCAATTAGGGAAACCTATTTTAAATTTTATAAATATAAGTAATGATTATAACGTACTAATAGTTTTAATTAGAACCCTGGGTGTTTAAGGATCTTTGTAACCTCTTTAAAAACAAATGGCTATACGGATTTGAATGTAAGTTGTGGTTCATCTCCCTTAAGATAAATTTCATCACGTAAAATATATACGATGAAATTAAGCCAGCCAAGGATAAAAGCGAATACAAATAAACAAGATTTTCTCACGATTCCAATACATTTTCGCCATCCCGTGGGATATCTTGTTTTTGAACACTTATTCACTTATGCAAATCATTCCTACCAGCTTAACAGTAAGAATATTTAATTCTGGACTAGGGCCAAACATACAACGCTCGTATCAGGCGATACCCGTTATACTGTCTGAAGTCTGTTAACTACACGACTCGGAGAGAAATTCGACTTGCCAAAAGACACATTATTCTCGATTGAATTACTTTCAGTACTTATTAGGGAAAACCTAATGGTTTTGCATCCAATGAAGTTGAAAACAAGCAAATTTACTACAAACAAAGCGAGACTTTACATCGTCAGTTGTAGCTGAAGAGTACAATTGCAGGCTTGGCAATAAAATTATTGGCAATGTGACAACGGTCGGGCAATGTTTTTCTTTGAAAATTCCCCCTCTAAATGTCAGGTCTTCAAAGCGGCGCGTGCGCAAATAATTGTGTTGCCAGATGTTAAGAATTTGATCGATATAATAAATATTTAGGGACCACTCGCCTGCATGTGTGCGTGGATGTGATGTGCGATATGTGATGAAGGTGAATCGGGCTCGAGAAAGGTGAAGGCGTAATCGGTTATATTTAAAAAGTAAGAATGTGACCGCCCAATAGTGTGATACGAACAATAATCAAGCGGTTGCACGCCTTGTTAATCTTGTAAATCAGATACCTTTATTCAATACTAGCTGCTGCGCGCGACTACGTCTGCGTAGAATAGCCTAAGGGGTAACATTCAGACAGAAGAACAGATATACATGAAATATGTACATAAAAACAGATATAAATTATAGTCTATGTCTTATTCAGATGTATAAGCTATATTATTGTAAAGTTAAATTAAAATCTATTCAGTAGTATTTGCGTGAAAGAGTAACAAACATCCATCCGTACATACAAGCTTTCGCCTTTATAATATTAGTAAGGATAAAAGCATTACACTTTCTTATTGATTGTCATAACGCTACCACTTTTTAAAATAGTTATTAAAGTAGCTAATACTTCTTCTTTCTCCTGCTCTTATCACTCCTATTCTTCTTATCAATGGGGTGGGGTCGGCACAACATGTATCATGCAATTAATCGTGTTAGTCGGATTATTTTACGATCGAAGATTGTTGTCTCCGTGGGTACAAACACCCAGATCGGGAATGATTACCTGTGGGTCACACAAATACTTGTCCTCAGCGGAATCGAACTCACAACCCCTGGCGATGGGACCAATTGCAACTGCAACTGCACCACAGAGTAATTTTTCGGTTATCTCACTAATCAGACGGAAGACAACATTAAAACCCATCACTCGCCGTCAGCAATATTTCTCCTAACGAAACTTAGTTTGGTTTGTGGAAATAGCATGCTGATAGTCCTCACCATTCAGACGCAAGTTTTTTAGTCAATATACGCGGGCAAGCTGAATTCGAACCCCGTTGCCGGCAGCGATGAAATTGTTAATTTTAAGCGCTGACTTACCACGTGCTCAGCGGTGAAGGACAACTGCATATTTTCGAAATACGAACAAAAAATATTTTGAACATATGTGAAGTCCACCACCAGTCACGCAGTGGGGTCGCGTGGTGACCTACGGCCTAATACCGCGTACGGAGGTGGCCATTGGCCAGCAGTGGAACATTTACAGGCTGTTACTTTACTTACTTTTAATGATATTAACACTATACAGTTTATATATTTTATGGCTAAAGGTGGATGTGAACATAAAGTTCGGATTAGACGGTTAAACTTTTTATTTTCAAGCACCGCCTAATGTTAGTTTCTACTACCTCAAGCCGGTTAAACTTAAGTTTATACAAAGTCCCTTCGCCGAAAACTTATAGGCGAAAGAAAAACGATGGAATAACACTTACTTCATGACAACTTTATAAACAAAAGAACCAGTGTAATTGCAGCTACGAACTTAGATATTAAAATTCAGAGAACAAAAGGTCTTCAGCGTTAATTACTTATTAAAAGTACAAATTTTGGGTAACAATTATAACTATCACTACAAGTCGTTTTAATAAATTACTAAGCGGATATTTGTTGGCAAAAACCAAACATATTTTTCCCAGCTTCGTTTCGGTTACTGTGTTGTTTATCCATTACAGATCATTTATTATATTAGATAATAATTAAATACATACTAGTTAAGTTTCGATTAATTGAGTCGTGATAGCTCAGTGTCCGGGCGCTCGCCTTAATTCAATATATACTCGAGCAACCTGAGTTCGATCCCCGGTGCCGGCACCAATGAAGTTTTTAACTTTAAGTGCTGAATTATCACGTGCTCCGCGGTGAAGGAAAACATCGTGAGGAAACCTGCATATTTTCGAAATAATAACAAAAAAAAATGTATTTCGAAAATATGTGAAGTCCGCCAATCCGCAGTGGGGCCGCGTGGTGGACTATGCCCTGATACCCTCTGTATAGAGGAGGCCTTTGCCCAGCAGTGGGACATGTATAGGCTGTTACTTTAATTGAGTCGATATTTAGTTTTGTTATACTTCAGTATCAACATCATATTGAACAAATTGGCGATTTACTGAAGACGGTAAGCATGTACGTTAACAAAACTGTTTTCAAGTATTGGTTGAAATAAATATCCTTTTAAATAATATGTCAAATAAATTGGACGACAAGGGATAAGGCACGGTCTAAACCGGAAGGGATGGCGTGAATGAAGACCGAGATAAATGTACCCCTCTAGTTAATGATTGTTTAATTGTAAAATTATCGGATTGTATGTCAAAAAAAGTGTACACTTTCCATCACGCACCTGGCAACACTCACGTATTTTTTGAATTCCGCTAGAGGTCGCTGACTCACAGGCCATGCCAGTTTGGCATCTTATTATATCACTATTTTCGGAATAACAACGTCGGGTTTCAATGTCAGATCGCTGGAGGCGTTACGAAGTATCAAAATAAATCATCGCTTACGACCGACTGCCTGTGTTTTAGAAATGTTTGCGTTATTAGGAACGCGTTAAAAATAGATTTATGGCGGGGCGGCATTTAAGCGGATTGGTTTTCATTTGCATCAGGAAAAATGAATAATGCAAAAAGTTTACTTTACTTAAAATTGTTTTCTTTGTGTTTTTCTGAAAACATTAAAATAGTGTTAAATACAATAATTGGAACACCAAATTATTGAGGTACGATATAATAAACTTACTTAGTATTTATAGTTTGCTTCCCCAAGAAATAATCCCGCTCTTAGCCTCCATTTATACTGAGGGAATCAGCTAGTTTCCATGAAATATGTCTAATTTAAATATCCCATATTATAAGAGCTCCTAATAATTTTAACAGGTTTATTGTTCGCTTGAAGCACTTAATATTGTCTTCTTTACAAACCGCTACACAACTCTTTGAATGACTTTTAGTGGGAAGACGTATCAAAACCTTTAAGTAGTTTACAATTAAATTTATTGTTAAATAAATAAATAATACGAACTCCTTCCTCCCCTTCTACCATCCAACTATTGGAAACTCAGAGGGCCGCGAGGAGAATCGGATGGAAACTCTGTAGTAAAGTTTTCGTTTTTATCTAACATATTCATCATCTTTTATTAAGATTCTTAAAGTCATTCTTGTCCCCGATCATTTCTTCAACAATACAATAGGTATTTCAATTAGGTTTTCTTTGACTACCTTCTTAAGGTACGACTGACTTTACTGAAGCACCATTACTGACCACAACCATTTACCATCGGGCACTAACCAGTCGCTAAAATAATAAATACATAGCCTTCTTATTTCAATGTCTCCAATCAAAACTATCAAACCTGGCACGCGTAAAATAAATCAGTAGATACATCACGTTCATTGTCACGACCGCGAACCGGATCGCGCCACCTTGGACGGTGGATTGGAAGAGACAATAGCGCATCGAAGTCTGGCCACACGGCCAAAATCGCAGTCTAAATGTGGACTACAATCTGGCAAGAATAGTATTTGATTTTTCAGTTGTTCACCTCTCGCCCCGGCGTGACACCGCCGCAGCCCGCTCCCCGTCACACCCAGCACTGTAACCCTGATCCGGCCCACTCCTGATCAGCGTCCCAAACATGGGCCTTATGCTCTCTATCGTGATATCGTACGCGGGGATCAATGAGGCCATAGAATGTGTGAAACACATCATCAGAGGTGTCGTGCCCGATGGCGAGCCAAACTTTCAAGAGCTCGTCGAGTATTATACTAGACTACTCAACAAGTCGGCTAACCCGTCGTCCCCCGGAGAATGGATAAAGGAGTGCGGCCAAGGATACCTCAGCTTGACGGAGGACAAAAATGGCTCTTTGCAGTCAGCCACTGTTAAGTACTACGGGCAGACGCGCTCGACGGCCATCTTATTCTCTACAAAAATTTCCAGCTTTGGACAAGAGTCCGTCGATGAAGGCGCACAAATCAATGGGGACTATAGAACGGATAGATACACGCCGACGAAAACCAAGACTATCATATCAAAATCATTGGAATCGTTTAGTATCGGTCCAAGGAACAGATTGAGCACACCGCAGAACACTCTGGAAGCCGCGGATGATTCAAACGAAAATGAAAACGAATTAAACGATCTTACCGAGGACAAGGAGAAGCTATCGTGGCATTACAAGCCTAAAAGCCCGTCGAGAAAGCCGTTACCAGAAATACACTTCCAGTCGTACGACGCCGACAGGGTAGAAAACACTGCGTACAGCGAAGAATTTCTAAGGTTAATATTTACTGATTATGGAGAGCATGATACGTGTCCGATATCACATAAACCACGATCCATTGCAACCGAATCGTGTACATTTCATCGTTCCCATCAGCACCGGTGCACGAGTAGTCACAACATGATACGGTAGTTACTGCATGACCAATAAGCCGACTCACATATATGTAATTTGTTTAAGATCACTTGACGGAATTAAGTTCCGCCCTTGCAACGAAACGACCCGAGCGGGCGTCGCAGGAGTTTCAGAAAGCGCCACTCTTCTTCGTCCAACTCCTCTAAGGACTCGAGGGCGTCACGCGATGAGGAGCTGAAGATGTTCACGTCCCTCGAAGAGGAGGAGTTTCGGAAAATGAATGAGAGCGACAAGGGCGGCCGGTTCGGGAGCACCCCAAACTTACCGACGCGTTCTTATTCCAGAAGTCGATCGCGGGAGAAGTCGAGGGAGGGAAGTGAGAGATGGAGCACAGAAGCGTCCGTGGATAGCGCACCCGATGAGGCTAAACCGAGACTGATAGACCTACCGAAACTAGATTCGTTCGCGGAGGAGAGAGACGATAGTAAAGAGACCAATGAGGTAACGGAGGAGACGGAGGAAGAAGTTGATTTCTGGGCTAACTTCGGAGATTAGCGCTTGGGCCTAAACCGCACGTCTTGTGCATCCGCGCTTCGATACGAGCATGACTGATTTGGAATTAAATATAAAACGATGAGATCCTCCCCTGCGTTTTGTTTTCACATTCCGTAGATATGTCTCCATAGTAAATTCCTTCATGACAGGAACCCTGTGTACAAGTTTACGCTTTAATAAGTTTGGCTTTCTTAGACGTTATAGAAACGAGGAATACGCTTTGATTGTATCTGTTACTGTGAACACGTAAATTTATCGCTACACTTACAACATGTACAAACTGTAAATTACACACAGTTACAATTGCACAAATGGTCTTTCAATTACAATACCTCCAAATTTTATTGAAACTTAGGTGAAAAGTTATTAAAAAATTGTATTATTATAATGCCCTTTAACATATTAATTGATATTTATAAATTATTCGCAAAATGAAAACATACATAACTCTATACGAATCCTATATAAAAATTGAGAAAAACATCAAATCAGCTTTGTCTCAGTCAATTACTGTGGTAGGGCCACGCAACAGTCTTCTCTGTTGCACGGCTGGGCAGGTCTGTCCGGGTGAGTACCACGACGTCACGCCGGACCGGCGCGTAATGGAAGTATTATTTCTCCGCCTCTTTTCTGGTGATTGAGGTAGTCGGGGCCAACTTTATTAATAGGTGGCAACGCATCCTTCACAACATAATCCTTTGGGTGTTGCAAATGTTGATGGGCGGCGGTTATCACTTAGCATCACATAAAAAAATACAAACATTTTTATTTATTTAACAACGTGTATTTCGAGATTTAAATTTATAAAAACTCGATATTGACGACCTATTCGTTTGTCTCGATAAAATTTTCGATAAACCCTGATTTGTGTAAATCGTCGCGTTGGAAGCATCTTGCATAATCCACACGAAAATATCCAGGCATGGTGAAACGATGGGCCTCGACCCACTTGGAGCTAAAGTGACGTACGTACGTACGAGCGTTTTCATTGGTGACTCCCATTATAACGGGATTATTGGCTTCATTCATCAACACATAAATAATTTGACCTTTATTAATGTATGAAGAGAACCTTTAAGAGCTATGCTATTAGTCGCCTTTTGACTCTTAAATACTATTCTTTGTATTATAATTAGTTATGTTAGCGACTTACAAAGATCCTTTCCATCATCCTATTTATCGTCACGTAGGTAGACAGTGGGATCGACGCCTGTGTTGGAGTAAATTTATTTATGTCTGTTTATCACTGTTAATTGGGGTAGAAAAACATCGTGACGATACCTGCATGTCTGAGGAATACGGATAGATGTATTTGTAAGGTACCTATGCGATTTCTCAAAATCTGAGCAGTACGGCTGATATTTCTAAAAGTTCTCGATACTCTCGAAGTACCTATATAGATATATAATTATGTATATATTATTAAGCAAGCAATCACTTATCCCGTCTGTGAATAATTGGTGACGAACCGAGGAATATTGTAACTTGACTAAAAGGAGGATTGACAGCCCTTAATGTGATGATTTTGATGGGTTAGCTTTTCTCACTGTGACCGGCGTGAATTGGCAGTGTTATACTGCTTTCGTTTGAGTGAGGTAACCGGGACCATTTTATTAAAAGATGGCAGTTCATCTGCAACCCTAAGAGTAGCACATGGGTGACGGTATCACTGAACATCAGATGAATTGTCACCTTGCTCGCCATCTTCTTACGTTAAAAAAAATTATATACTTTCGCGGTTCATATGGTGCGCCGTGCGTGAGGTAATCGGGGCTCACTATTTTAGAACGTTGGCAACGCATCTGAATCCCTTAAGATGTTAAAGATGACCTTGGGCCAGTATCTCCACTGAATTAAAAACATAGAATGGATAAGTATATGTTAAGTTTCTTTTGTTACTAGAAGCTCATTGTTTTTATCGCTTCTTTAATATTGATCACATTTATTAACGTATTTCACATTTATTAACTTTGAGTTGATAGCAGAGTATTTTTATATAACCACAAATCATGTGACGACTGGTTTTAATTTTCGATTGGTGTAGAATATTCTGCAAAACTGAAAATGAAAACAACATGCAAAGAAGACAAGACCAAAATGTATTTGGTTTTTTAAGACATATTATCAGTTCTCAGAACTCTCGATTAAGCTTACGTCATTTAAACTTATTGCAAAATGATTTTTGAACGTTCCAATAACGAGCATAGAAGATTATCATACTGGATCCGAAACGATATCTAAATGTATCAAACGTTAGTTATTTGCGATATAGTTAACCTATGATATTACTTCACGTTTTCTATGCCGCGGTTTAGAAAACAAGGCGGCTTCATCGCGGTATTATTACTGCGGTTGCTACTAACACAATAGTCTTCCTGATGTAAGCCGAACCGTCTATATTCGTTTTCGTATGAATACCAAAACGCGTTGGGTTTTATGGCAGGAAACTGCCAACCGCCATTGCCCTTTGGTCGCTATTCGATCTAGTTTGAGTTTCGAACTTTTATATCTGTTTTTGTAGTCTGGTCTGGTATTAATGGATTTTACGGGCCTCTGTTTTTTTTTTAGAAAGGGCACACAACATCTGAATATGGAACCCTTTTATTTCCCTTAGTTAAAATTGTATTTTCTTCTGATTTAAGGACACTCGATCAGCTCTAAATACATCAGTGGTGTCATGCCTAAAATCAAAACATACAAAGTAATTTGGAAGATTTTCTTCGTACTCTCATGTCACTGAATTCATAAACGGTCATTTGTTTTCGTCTCTCATTGTGGGTGTATGAGAAATTGACATGCCTTATTTTTCCGTTGCCAGGCACATGCGTCACAGGCTAAAAATATTCCAGACTTGAAGGAATGCCAAGCCAAATTCGATGCTTATTCCATAAACAACCAATTTTTTTTTTAATATTCCTCCTTTAAAAGTCTTAAATATATGTTGTGTACGTTTATTTTACCGTTCCTTGGATATTTTTAATGTAACATTCTGTTTTTTAATTAAATTATATCAGTTTACGTCACATCGATCAAATTTGTCCATAAGTAATAAATATGTAAAATCATAAACCTTCAGATTCTTTGTGAAAAGACTTTTTAAGGGAATATCCATAAGAATAGTCAATAAGGAGCATTGAATAATATGATTACTTATTTGCTGAATAATTTCGAAGAAATAACGGCATATTAACAAATTACCAATGCATTAGTAATGAAGAAATGACAAACCATATATTTTTTTTATGCGAAAAGTTGTCAAACGAGCAGACGGTTCACCTCATGTTAAGTGAATACCGCCGCCCATGGACATCTGCCACACCCGAGGGTTACAGATGCGTTGACAACCTTTTGAAACTTGGGCTCCGGCTACCTCACTGACCAGAAGAAACGCGAAAGTATTTGTTATACTTCCACTTTACGCTGGTCTTCTGTGAGGCCGTGCTACTTACCCGGACGGGCCTGCCCATTCGTGCAACAGCCCAGGCTGCTGCGTGGCCGTACCACCGTTAAAATAGCATACAATAATAATGCTACATGTTTGCCATACATAATATTGTAAAAATTAGGTTCCTTTAACAAAATAGGATAAATAGAGAACGGTTCTTCATATAGGACTTGTCTGATAGTTGGGATCCATTTAAATGAGATATAAATAAGATATGGAGCATGTATTATTAATTTGAAAATAATATCTAAGTACGCTAAGTAGCTAAAAAGAAAAAAAATAAGTACGCCAGAATAAGCTATAAGGTATTTAATTGTAATAGGAACATAGTCCAAGCATATGCTATGGAGAGGTATAGAGTTAGAGTTCTCTCGCAATAGCAACTTTTCCTTAGGATTTGCGTCGACTGACCCGTAACAACTTAGTTCATCGGCCAATAAAAGCAGAGAGTTTTTATGTCTGCAGTTCTTCTGATGAGAAATTATTATCGCTACCCCCACTATACTACTATATACTCGTAGCACTAATAAATTAAGCTTTAATAGTCTAAAGACTGAAAGCGTAACACCCAGTTATACAAAAACTAATAAATTGCCTCCAGGCGGAAGTGTATATTTTGCGTAAGCTCCTGTGAATTCTTACTTTCCCCATCGAGGCGGTCCATTTAAACGTGTCTCCGCCACAGCAATATTTAGAGATGTTTGGTAAACTTTTTGCCGGATCTATTAGCGATTCTCATTGCAAATCCAGGTCCGGTTTGTTTGATCGACGCTTTAGCAATTAGTGCAGATGAGCGCGTGTTTTGACGGTCAGTGAACCGAGCTCAGATTTGGAAAAGTCATTATGTAGATCCGTACATCACATAAATGTTTGACATCACATAGATTTTAACCGATTTTCTTCAATTTGGACGCATCAATAATATATATTGAATCTTAAGAAGTAGTATTACTCGATGGATGCAGCTAACTCAGGATCGTGCTTCGTGGCAGCCTGTGGGGCTCCCCATGTTCGGTAGTGGACTCTAGCAGGCTGAAATGATGTTGGTAATGATAGATTATTTTAGCTTAAGTATATATATATATATATATATATATATATATATATATATATATATATATATATATATATATATATATTCAGTACATGTACGAGGTAAATTCATAGAATTCCGTTTTTTCAAATTGACAAACTTGACCTTCAGCATATTCATTTCAGTTTTTCAATTCTTCAGCATATTTTGGCTAATATCTCGTAATTAGGAACGGACGAAAGGAACGTAGATATGTATTTTTGGAAAAAAAAAAAAATTGTGAGATGACATCTCCGTCAAGACTGTTTCCAATCCCAAAAAGTTTCTTATCTATTTTTTTTTTCTATTGAATCTTTTATTTTCCATCATCATCTGTATTAGAGGTATCACGCTTCAGGTACTTGAAGTTTGGACACTTTTCGAATCCGGCGGTATGTGAAAAATAGGGATAGAACCGGCCACCATAGATGCTGTTGTGAACGAATCAGATTGTTTAAATCATTTCTAATTTATTCTGGAGTTAAATGGATGAGAAAGATCTGATTGGGATTTAATTTTCATATTTTCATTTCATATGTCTTCGTTTCAAATTAAAATTTCTTTTTAGAAGATAAGCGAATTCATCTCTATTTATTAAGGAAGCTTAGCGTACAGAAAAAAGTTAAGGTATTGCAGTAGTAATATAAAATGAAATAACGAGTCAAAAACAATGTTAGAAATGTTTATAAAAGTAATAATTATGGAATCTATGTCTATAATAAGCAATTTTTTTCCTTTACTTAGAAGAGATTGCGGATTTAATTTTTTTTTACTAAAATAGTAACTTTTTTTAACTGACAAATTGACTACTTGACGATCCCGCAGTAGAGAAGCCGTGATATAATTCTCGGGTAGTGTGTTTCCACTTACTCAGTAAAGACCATTCCAGCTATTACCTTGATAGTTTTAGACGAATAAATTAAGCCTTTGTTTTAAAAAATTGAGTTGTTAATTCCATAGCTGCCGCATACGGTCCAGCCATTTTTTTCTTTTATATTTTATGGAAAAAGGTTGCAAACAATGAGATTGACCTGAATTTAAATATATTTGACAGTGAGACTCTAATAGAATTCTGCAATAGGTGGATGCAGTTATTTCCTTTAGTATCAGATACAGTGTACAAAAATAATACACTCAATCGGTGTACAAAAATGCTTAATATGAATTAGAGATGTGTTCTTTCCCGTGCGAAACTTTGACTAGCTAGTTATTATATTATTAATTGTAAAATAAAAGCCCACGACAGGAAGGAGTGGAAGAAATGGAAGGAGGCCTTTGCCCAACAGTGGGAGACTAATGGCTGATAAATGTAAATGTAAAATGTTAAATAATTACATGCATTCCATCAATTATTCATTTACTTGTCCTGTCCTCTAATTTGCAACGTGGGTGAATACACTTTAACGCTCACCTTGAACTAATAACTAAGATTGACTTAGAATTTATTCCACTGCGTTAAAACTTGTACAAACTTGAATATTAACTGGTAAATAATTTTCAACAGATCGAACGATCAACTCATAAAGAATAATTCTAAAATCCATTGATAATAAAAATTACAAATTAACTTTCTTCATATAAGTAAATGGCCTAAAGTAATAATTTGATTTTAAACGTGGGCGCTAACAGTTAGTTCAATTTAACAATTAAACATCTTTGCGACTCCGTGGAAACATGTTAATTACGACACATCATAAACATACCATAATTTTTTCGTTTATTACAATCAAAATTTCCCAACTTTAAACAGATTTCTCTTCTGCGTCTATTATTTACTTAATCTTTTTATTTACATCACAGTTTTTAATTTCGCATACGCACCAACGCTATTGACACGAATTGCAATGATAAATAGCGATTCGATTAACTAAATCAAAAATAAAACATTCTCATTCTCAGAAGAGACCAAACACTTGGATTATACGATAGAGCGAACTTTTAAACTACTCCGTTTAGGATAAAAGCCGTGATGCTTCCACTCGTATATGTTTCGATACGCTTGCAAAATCCCGATGGATGTTCGACTGAAGTTTGACAGCTCGGTTCTCGGTTCCACCCACGTCCAGGGCCTCCCTAGCAGCCCACGGAGTAGGGAAACGCGTGGAAGGTCTATTTTTAAAACCGGTGAATGAATCCGACGGCGACCAAGACCTTGCGAGGTCCAACGTCAACCGCCTCCGTCAACGGCTAGACTTTTAGTTGGGTGAACATAATACCAGTGGTGTTTTCTCTAGCAGTAGTCTGACAAATTGATCACGTTTTGCAAAATCCTATGACGATAAACTTTTACGTTGCTGAATAAAATTCCTGTGTTGTTTTCTCTAGCACTAGTCTGACAAATTGATCTCGTTTCACCGAATTCTATGACGATAATTAGCAGGCTTTTACTGTTGCCTGTTGATTGATTAGAGAAATAAATAGAAACATGTGGAGCGAATCAATTGTTGATTCAATCGTTGAATACGCCTTGGACGATTCCGTGAAACCTTATCTTTGATGTTTCTGGCCGTTTATTGTTGTAGGGCCTGGGTGCCACACATTTTGTATCTCCTATTAATGTTTACCTAATCACATCAAAAATTGTTTCGGATAAAGTTCGGATGAAGGTTTATAGGCGGCTTTTATAGCGATATACAATTCGTGAATACAGGTCGATGAGAATGCAAACAATGTGCCCATTCTAAATCGCTGTCGTAACAATATTTAACGCTGACTGTGGGCAACCGTTTCGGCGATTTCATTGAAACGTTGTAATCTATTAGCGTTCGCGTTAAGCGCTCATTGTCGGCGAATTGACAGGCGCGATGGAAGTGCCGATGCGTGTTTGGACGCCAATCGATAATGGGCTGCCAATAGCGTAGCAGCTCGGGGGGTTCCGTCGATCCGAGATTCGGGCGCACGGGGCGGTGTCGGATCACTCCGGCCGGGGCGAGTGGAACCCGCGGCCGAGGGAAACGCGCGAACCGCGGGGCGCTCGGAAACGCCGCCCGCGCACCTGCCCTCCCCGTCACTCTTCCAAATTTAAATCCGAAACCCCCCCACCGGGCGCGTCCGCCCGCGCCGCCGCGAACATTCTGGAATAATTCCACCATTTCGGCCACCGGTGCCCGCCATTCGAATTCGGGTCGCGACCGCGTCCGGTGATATCGCTTACTACCCAACACTAGGCAGCCCCGACTCCTGCCATGGCCGACGTAGACGTGCAAGTCCAGTACACCACCACAGAGAGGAAGACCAGGAAGGTCAAGAAGACCTCGAAGCGTAGGGAGTCTAAGGATGGCGACGTCACCGTCACCGAGGTCGAGCAGACCAACACCACCAACAACGACGACGGGTATGTGAAGCGGTGGCCAAGTTCCCTTGAACCCTTAGGAAGTGCGATGTGACGCCAGTGTGTCTGTGACGGCCAAGTGTCGATTCGAGATCGTGTTCGACCTTCTACAGTGACGTGCACCAATCGCTTGCACATCGACATGTCAGGCGTCCCCATTTTGGCCACCCTCACATACCCGAACTAATTTAAGGTACATATCTATGCATCACGTCAACGATTAAAGGTTAATTGGCAGCGAAAACTTCTCCATACTGTCCCTGGAGTTTGCGCTAACGAAACACTCAATCAAATAACAAAGTAATGTTAGTTTACGACAGCCCCTTTATGTCGTTGTTTTAACGTGAGGAGCGTTCTGGAGTTGGAACTATATCGAATGGTGTCTTTGCCCTCAGCTCATTTTCAGCGGCGAATACACCAAGGCGATGAACAAGGACTGGCACAGCGGCCACTTCTGCTGCTGGCAGTGCGATGAGTCGCTGACCGGCCAGCGTTACGTGCTGCGCGACGAGCACCCCTATTGCATCAAGTGCTACGAGAGCGTCTTCGCCAACGGCTGCGAGGAATGCAACAAAACCATCGGCATCGACTCCAAGGTTAGCGCATAAGGTCCAAATTGGCCTGCAAAGAAATTCCCAAAAAGTCTATGAACAACAATTGCCACCTTAAATCCATTAGAATCAAACATCGACTCCAAGGTTAGCACGTAAGGTCCAAATTGCTCTGCAAAGAAATTCCCGAAAAAGCCTATAAACAACAATTGCCACCTTAAATCCATTAAAATTAAACTTCTGGACATTTAAGGTGTATCCGTGTATATATTCTAGTCGATGAAGCAGTAACACTTTTATGCGAGTTAAATGCATTAACAGTATTTATAGAAGCCACGTAATTCTTCCCTCGCCGGCTCCAATTTCCTTTTCATCAATACGTAAGGTAAATCATTCGTTTACGATTCGTCGGGCTCGGTATAGGTACGGTGAGGTGGGCAATCTTAAAATATCATCAAAGATCGTCTCTCGAATGTCGTCCTTAGAATAGCACCGGGCCCGATAGCATTGCTTAGCTTTGTTGCGCTGATCAAATTTAGTTATGTCATTCCAGCCGGCCCAGATTCCACAAGCGCATATCTGCGCACGGCACCACCCAGCGCTGCCAAGCCGACATAACTGATACGCCACGTACACAGCGCTATACGGTTGCGTCTGCCGCGAATGACTTTTTCCGTCAGACGCTTTACATATAGGCACACAATGATCTGTGTTCTATTGTTACCGCGATCTGCAATATGTCCGCACGTCTTACTAGATTTGTTTCTTGGACATTGGGTCACAAATGCATAGTTAACTAAAATTTAAGTGCAATGCTCAGGCTAGATGTTTTCGATATTCATGTTTTTTGAAAATTTTCTTGCCAACGCAAAATGAACTCTACGAGCATTTGTTATTTTATTATTTATAGAAACGTGTTTACGCGAAACAACATAAACATCGAAACCTAAAGCTTGTCGAGCGTGCTGTCGAAACGTTTCGCGCTTTCAACAGAATCGGCTCTGAGACGAGTCGTTTTTCGAAAATGATCGCTTCAGATGTACTATTTCTGGGACGGACAATGCTTTCGGCGTTTTTCGTTCCGGATGTAACCTTGAGCAGAACGAATCCGTCAGGCGAATCTCCAGAGATTTACGCGCTACCCGGGCCCGCTAAGTGTTTCGTAATCGGCCAAAATAAACGTTCATATTTTATTGACATTACGACATTAAGTTTTGAGCACGGACCGAGTTTCTTGTCGGCCCGCCAAGAATAGAACGCAGAATGAGGGAGCTTTATTTTCAAACTGAAAGCGCGCGTCGACGACTGTTACGGTACGATTTATCTGTATATTAATGTCATCTAGGGTTCGTAAAGCAACGATTGCTACCCGCTACACGAAAATACGTTACTTTTTGAAGCAGTTGTTAATCTTTTCGACTTTAGTATCTAACGAAACCCTCTATACTGATAAATGAATGGTGCAACTACCAACCATTATGTTTGGGCGATGTAGGTCTTGGATGCCAAGTATTTCTATGACCTACACATAATTATAAAACAAGTGTAGGAAAACAAACCCAGACATACATGGACATAATAGGCTTACATCTGACAATATTAAATGATGAAACTATGTGAATTTATTAAAAAGTCGTAACTTATTTGTATTTTTTCGAAGAAAATTTATTGGCTTGTATTATTTAATACAAGCCAGTAAATAATTGATCGATGCTGGGTAACTAAGTGGCAGTAATAAAATTATGCTCCTAAGAGTTATATTGGAACATAAATTATATTCAATCGGGATTTTGAATTGGTCAATTGTTTGAAAATGTTCCAACTATTGCTCAAATCCATCACTGCGTAGCTACACTCGTGTGTTATCATGATATTTCCCAATACACAGGCGAAGGAAAATTATTTTTATACCGCGCGTTGGATTTCAAACACATCTTCGTGACCAGATTTATATACTTATAAATTCTCTTTCTTAAAAATCTTTCTAATGAAAAACAAGGTCAATGTTTAATTGATTTGATCTCAGACGCTGCATCATTAGCATTTATAGAAGATGAAATATAAAAGACTTCGTTAGTTGGCATTATTCCTTGCTTCTACTTTCTACAACCAAATAGAGCTTTAACTTGAGAGATAAGATTACGGTTTGTTAGCATAAGTTTTTATTACTCTATAATCTTTCAATTTTGTATAAAGTGAATGCGTGGGGGTTATTTAATTAACCGTTTAGATTTGTAGCACAGTACGAATGATCGAGTCAAGTTTCTTTTGTGTTCTTCATTGTGCAATCCTATTAAATAAATATTATCAAATATTTTTAAAATCAAAATATTGCAAAACTTTACAGGCTATTTTATGATATTGTTGTACTGTTAGATCGTATCAAATACCTTTTTTTGGGGTTTAAAATTAATTGTTATTTTATACGTTAGCTTTAACTCATACAAATTCATTTCTACTGTGTATGACTTACTCCTTTCTTTGATTAGTTTTTGTCGTCTTGCCTTTGTGTTAAGGTTCATTCCATGATACCATATTTGATTTACGTTCATAAAGAACATAACGGTTCCATCACTGTAGGTGGTAAGCACTACGCTTGCGAAGAATCAATTGTTTGGTAGGCACTGTATTTAAATTTCTGCCCACACCGCTTTATCGGTTTCGAGTGTTTTTGTGGCGAGTAAGTGATGGGTATTTCCCACGGCAGACAAAGCCAACGAATTTTAATGGTGTCTTAAAATAAATATGACTGCGTACAATTTAATAAAAAATAAATTGTCTCTTTGAAGTTTCTTACTTGACGATGAAGTCATTAGGAGAGTGTTTTATAGTATAATTAAAACTTAATTTGGGGCATGGATTAGTATTTCTATGTTTAATTATCTTCTTTCGTCTGCTCATATCCCACTTAGGCGGGGTCGACACAAAATCTGAATCGAATCGTCTTGTTGGTGGTTTTGACTAGGACTTTTACGATCGACCTGTTTAATAAGTTAGCCCCTCCTTTGGAATAAACACTCTGTCCAACAATCTATGGTTCACTCAAATAATAGATAGTACCCGGAGGACCGAGCTTTCCTCGGTTTTGTTTTTTTTTTTTTTTTTTTTTGTTAATCGTGTAAGTATTTTGTAAATTACATTCAGATAAAAATTACTGAGTAATGAAATATGCATAATATTTTTCGATTATACTGACCTAATAATAAGAAAATATGAAGTAGTGTTCACAAAAGAAACAACTTGAAAAAAAGGAAAAAAATTACAAAATCATCTGGATCAAAAAAAAGTAAAGATCTGGAATCGAAAAAAAAGTGAAAAAAAGAGTGTGTATATGATCGTGATACGATGCGAGCTATTCTTTCTTTTGCGGCGAAATTTACCGTCATATTCAAGTGATATTTTTTATTCCCTGAAAACAGGGATAAAAGGACATTTTCTAAAAATGAAACCTAGCTAGATCGATTTTTCGCCCCCGAATCTACGCACATACTAAATTTCATGAAAATCGCTGGAGCCGTTTCCGAGATTCCGATTATATATATATACAAGAATTGCTCGTTTAAAGGATAAGATTTGACAACTCACCTGTGTAAGAACTCAAGATCATGGAGTGTAAACCAATAGCCTAATGTGCAACCAAGTCATATTTGTATATTTTAGTTCTATGTAAACATACAAAATGTTTATGAAATATAGTCGCATACTTTATTTACAGTACCATTAATTTTAAAATATCTAACCAAAGAAATTTAACTTGTCCCTTGTGTAACTTATTTAATTTTTATTTGCCGAGAAATATTAGTTGTCATATACCATCCGTGCAGCAGACTCGTCTATTCATATATTATTTTAATATAACAGTAATTTCTTTGAAGTATGTGATAGTAAATCCATACCCTTTGCGGGGAAGATAATATGACCTCCAATACTACCAAGATCCTCATAAATTACATTCATTACCTAACAAACGAAGTATCTTCAATGCTTTCACAAACTTGGTCGAGTAGTTTTCAGCTGTGCCTTGGCATATCAATGTCTTGACCGCGATAACCTTCTCTCGCAGGATCTGTCCTACAAGGACAAACACTGGCACGAGGCCTGCTTCCTCTGCGCGAAGTGCCGCGTGTCGCTGGTCGACAAGCAGTTCGGCTCCAAGCTCGACAAGATCTACTGCGGCAACTGCTACGACGCCCAATTCGCCAGCCGGTGCGATGGGTGCGGCGAGGTGTTCCGCGCAGGTCAGTGCTTTATCAGTAAACTGTGATTTGGACATACAAACGGACGGGCAAGGGTCACTAATGTTTGTTTGTGCGATCTCCTACTTACCTACTGCACTTAGAGTTGACCTTAATAGTTGCGAAAGGAGGTAAAAACAAAAAAAAATGAAATTGAGATATTACTGACAATGACTATGTAATAATATGATATACAATATAATAATGACAGTGTAATCTTTTGAATATTTCTTATATTATAATCAAAAAAGAAACATTGCATGATATAATATTTGAATTTTGTGTATTAGCTTTGTCCAAATAAGTTTGAGAGGCCACTACTAGAAAGAAAAAGTTAAAGATGTTTATCTTGCGAGTTTACCGTAGCGAAATAGTTGAGGATAGTAATTAGTTAGAAGATATGGTAATGATAGTAAAAGTCAGGCAATATGTAGATCCGCCAAAATTTCGGCGCTGTCCTCCGATGACCCGAATCTTGTCATCTATCAATGTTCTTTATTGAATTTTTAGCAATGCTTGGCGCTATCTAGTGTTCCTAGTTTATCCCATGAAACAGCTTACAAAGAATTCAACGATCGTACATTTGAAACGCGATGTCGCTTTTGCTCTTTAAATTAGGATTCCTAAAATTGAAAGTTAAAAAAAATCTACGTTTAATTTTTTTTAATGACACATCATGCTACGGGGACTATACCCCACTGGTCAGGAATTACGCCACAGATCCAACTTCTGTATTAACGATATTTAACCACAGAAAACATCTGCACTTTACACGTATTTGGACGCGCGTTGCTGGCATATCACTTATAAATAGACCAAACTAATTGACGCCTCTAAATAAGGTGCGATGAATCAAGGCGCCCATAAAGTATCCTTTAACAGCCGTTACAAGGGATAATCGAGGTGCTTGCGTGACTCACGCCACAAGAACATATTGATCGGTTAATTTCTTATACGATTATTTGTTGTGTAACACTACAGGGCTACTAAAGGGTTCCGTTCTGGAACCTGATCTTTATTTGTTAAGATTCTGCTGATTAATGGGTTTCCTTTTAGAATACTTTGTCTTTTGTGTACTCAGCATCTATTTTTAATTACTTCTTTCATTTGTCTGCAATATCCTATATTAAAGTCGTGTTAACGGCTCGATGTTTCTGCACCATCCCTTGGGAATTATATAGAAATGTATTGGAGGATTTGAAACTTTTATTCATATCCAACTCGCTGCGACTGGTGGCCGACTGATGACTCGCGCTTGGAAAGCCTAATAAGGCGCGTCGGTCACCCTCGCTTGATAAGGCAAGTGAGGTTGATTCTAGAAAAAAACCGGCCATTGCCAATGGCACGACCTCGCCGGCGTATGTTATATACGGACGTATTTTTGACTTTTAAATCGCGCCACAACATGGCGACCCGCGAGTTCCTAGAACGCGTGGCATACCGCCACCTGCTCTCCTTAAACTGTCGTTTTCCACCTCCTTTGTGCAATGCCCTCGTTGTTTTACGATAGGCCCTTTTATTTGTTAATTCCCGCTCTGTGGCATTTCGTTTTGTTATGGGCATCGGTAATTTATGCTGATTTGGGTCGGAGCAATGAAAGTCCATATTGCGATCTTGATGCACGACTTTGCCTTTTAGCATTCGTGGACCTAAGAGACAGTTGAGAAACTATCCGAAAGTTTATAACTTACGACAAATAATTTCAAAGACAACTTATTTTTAGATAAACGAAGCGTAAAACTGATTTATTGGAAACTGGTTAGTAGTGCCAAAATTGCGAAGGCATCTGATACTGTGATTTTTAATTAAAACAACATGTCTTATCGTTCCTGTAAGACTTCAAGCTATTATAGGCAAAACAAACCAGGCATTAAATCTTGTTTCAATCACTACTTTATTAATAGGGGAAGCCTTAGTTGTTGTTACACGTTTTGTTAATTTAATAAAGTGTCTCGTGTATGTATGAGTTCATGTATGTGTATGAGTTCAGCTGTAAATTAATTTCATACCGCTTTAACACGCCGCACGTGTCGCTGGCGTGGTCTGGATTTGTTCAGCAGAGTTGGCGATTTAACTGTAATTAAATTTACGAAGTTGATGTTTGCCACATTTGGGGCGCGCCCACCGCCATGTTTTTTTTAATGTATGTGCGATGATTGTTTACCAATTCACAATTACAAATGTAATGAATGTAGCGTCTCAACTTGTAGCTCCAGATGTTTATTAAAACTTTTCTTTTACTATTACGAATAAAGATGAAGTGTTTTTAGTAGCTTTAGCTTTGTTGTACACTGAATAATTTCATCCTTATAAAATATAGTATTGGAGGCCCATCGCCTGTCACTCGGGACATAATAAGCATCGTGAATTTAATAGCGAGATCGTTAATGGCCATTAAGTACTGACCGTGGTCATTTATTATTATATCGTGATACAGCGACATAAAATCGGCGAATATTCCCACTCGGATTATCATGTGAAGAATTACATGCGAAGGATTACGTGTCGTGGACTCGTGCTATAAACCCAGTAGGGGACCGGCAATCCGCCAGAAAAGTACCTTTGGAACAGAGCGGCGTACGAAAGTTTGCAGCAACAAATCTGCATGGACGAATTTGATTCTGAGACCATCAGCTGCCATAACGGAGTCTGAATCGAATTGCATTCACAAAATAATAAATGATTTGTATTCTCTTTTTAAAAGTTTTAATCGTCTGCAGCTGTGGCAGGATTGTACAAAGTCGAGTTTTAAGCTATGGTCGATATTCGAAGGTCAAGTATATAATCATGCTCTTGTTTCGGTTTACAGCGAGGTTTATCATTAAAATGCGTACACTAACGCATTTTAATGATAAGTAGAACGTTATCTAAGGTCGTATTTGTATCTATTTATAGCGGTACTCGCTACGAAATTTCTTTACGCAACACATAAAATAATTTATGGAATACATGTACACAACCCATCTAGGACTTCTTAATTTTACAGTTTAATACTTTAACACGCGTAATAGGATTCCCTGCACTAGCCGTTATGTCAATCTTTCATACAACCATTGACAAACAACCAGTCAACCAGTTTAGTGCACCGTTGTCATTAGTTTATTTGTTCAACCAGTCACCCCCAAACACTTTCGTGTAGAGACACCACACTATTACAAATAACAGTCGTGTACAGATTCCGTGCTGACACAATAATCCGCGACGTTAGAACTGTAATAGCGCAGGACATTTTACCGTTACAATGTCATGTACTAAGCGCGGCAGAGTTGTGTTGCAGACCGTTACCCGTTATTTTAGATCGCTCGCACCCATGAATCCTCTTAAATTTCGAACGTCCATTTTTTTTTAATTTCTTCCAAACCAGCATGGCAATCGATGTTTCTTTTTTTTTCTTACTTTGGAGGGAATTCTGACAATCTCCGCCATTATATTTGATCTATTAAGTGATATTAGATCAGTTTAGTGGAAAATAATATATGAATTTAGTCAATGTCTTCATTGGTAAGATAATTATTATAAATTAAATGTAACTTGTTTATAAATTAAATAGTAAAGTGAATGTACCGTGCAAACTTGAACCATATCTAAAGTGTTAAAACGCCCGTCCATAGATCACGGTCTACTATATATTTAATCTGTTTCTCAGTCTTTCGACACAATGACACCTAGTTAACCATAGTGTGTCATCACGTGAATAGCATGACGGACTTGCAATGACTATTATACACGTTAAAGGACAAATTTTATTTTATATGTCCTCACTAAATTATTTGTTCCTTGCTAAAGTTGTTTAACTCCAATTAAATGACTTAATCCCAAGTGACAAACAAATTGAAAATTTGTTATCTCCGCTATCCCTATATGGTAGCTTTGAGCGTTTCGATATGTTTGGAATTTCAAGACAATTGTAACGTTAATGACATTAAAAACAAAGCAAGGTCACTTCCGAATATTTTATTAGTTTTTTCCGTTAACAGTACAGTTGTAACCATAAATAAAAGAGTAATTGTGCCATAAATAATGTGCCTGATATCGGCAGAGGGAAAACATTGGCATTTTGATTGGCATGGCCTTTATAAGATGTCAGCGTTTTCTACAGCGCCTTTGTCGAGCCGCGATACTGTATAGCGCGCCATGGGGCGAAGGGGGGAAGGAGGGGGATCTAAAGTGTAATAAATTAAACAATACTCGACTATTCTCAGTTAAAATCCATCGAAGCGTTAGAAGTAATTCAGTAATGAATTATTTTTAATATTAATTAATATTCTAAAATTTCATAATCAAGAATAGAATGTAAATATATCTATCCAATAGTTGCAAGGCTTGATCTTTGGCTTGTCGCTTTGATCCAAGATTAATATCAAAATTTAAATTGTGAGTTTAGTACATTGTCAAATTAGAACAAATTTGTGAAGACCAACTTACATTTATATATTTTACCCTTTCTACGCAAGACAATTGACTTTATGTACGTCGACTTTCCTCTCGGGTATGGGGTGCGATGACAATAGGTTGTTTTTATTGTCTACTCAACACTATACAGTAGTGTATACGCATTCAATAGCACTGAGTCGGTAGACCATATAAAATGCAGTGCTTTTGAGAGACATGCAACCGACGATTTAGCTTTTTGTGACCCAGACAATAACTTAAATGAATGCCGAGCAAAAACATTACGTGTATACTCTTGTAAGAATAAATAATCAAAGCAACAAAAAGACTGTGATAAAACATAAATAAACGAAGTAATGTCGTCAAAATGTCTAATGTGGGCACGTCATAATCGACGCGAGGTGTTCCATAATAGACATATCGTCATACCTGTCATATGTTGTCTATTAAATTTGTCAGCCGAGGGCACAGAAGTGATTAATATAGCATGAGATTTGAGATATCGTTTTACACATATAATATGCCTACACATATAATATGATTTAGAGTTTAGTTTCATTTCTTAGGATTCATTTAAAACATATTTATAATTGACAAAAGTTTTGAGACTA